TGCAGAACCTTACTCTTTTCACCATTGGATTTCATTTTGTTAGATAGCGCCCAGTGTTCAAGTTTGTCAAGATCCTTCTGTATCTTAAGCCCAATTCCCAAAGTCGGTTGCCATAGATCACGCAGAGTGAGATTCATGGGAGAGCACCAGGTGTAGGCTGATAAAGCTGCTGCCGTGTTATTCCTAAGATGGAGCCACTGATGAAATCAGGTCACATTCTTTCCTGATGACCCAATCAGTCTATTCCTTCCTCTTGATTTATATAGCCTCGGTAATGAAGCCTATTAATGGCAGGAATTTTCTACGCTATGTTTCCCCCCACCTAAACTTTGATATGAGGTGATTGAGCAAAAGCACCATGATGTTAAGCTGTTAAAAAGAAAAAGAAATCAAGCCTCACGCTGAAGCTGGAATTGCTTCCTTTTCCAGAAGAACTGCGTGTATTTTATTGCAGGAGAATCACACTCATTTTCCCCACCTTTAATGGAGGGTAATTATTACCCACCGCAGAATTGGGACCTTGGAAAAGGAAAGAAGAAAAAGAAACTTGACGGGTTCATAAAAGGGGCTGGGGCAGAATGCTGATTCTGTATCAAGCACGTTATTTTTCACTTGGTTGATGTACCGCTGTGGCACTGAGGGAATCCAGGACCAACAGTCAATTCGAACATGTTAGTTATGAAACTGAACTTCTGTCTCTGGGCGAGCCCAGAGCCTTGCATGCATGCCATGGCGTTCTTCAAGGATGCGGTCCTCAGCATAATTGAGAATAAGCTCCCTGGCCCCTCGTGGCCTCGGACCAATTGCAATAAATAAGACAGTAATCCTAATGTGTTCCAGCACCCTGGCTGAGCGGGTAGCCTGCCCTCCCGAATAAAAGAGAATTGCCGTTCCCAGGCAGAGACTCCGTTCCCAAAACTCAGCCGCGCTCTGCCTCTATCTTTAAGACACCCGTGAGGCAGCTACAACGTCTCTCTTCTTCCCCAAGTTTATCACAATCGCCCAAAAAGTCCCAAGTCCCAGCTAGGACGGACTTCCGATCCCCAGATCCCTTCTCTTACTCTTCACCTCCCGCTTGGATGGCTTTGAGCGAGCGTTCAGAGCGAGCGCTGGGCTAACTCCTCCGGCTTCCTCCAAGTAGCCCCTGCCAGGCGTCTGATGAACAACGGCGGACCTTTCAAATTGGAAACGGGGTGGGTGGGCAAGAAAGAAGCGGTAAGGGGAAAGGAAGGACGAGCCTCGATCTCCTGCCCTGCCTGATACCTTCCGCCCCCCCACCCCCCGCAACCTCCCTCTCTCTCTCTCCGTTCTCGTGGAGGCGGAGCTGCGAGGGCTTTGAGGGAGGGGCCGCCCTTTCTCCAGGCAAGAAGGACTCTCCGACAAGCGGCAGCCGCCGATGGGTTCAGCACCTCGGACAGTTCCTAGGCGCGGCGGTGGGCGGGGGCGCGGCGGAAAGAAAGGGCGGGAGAGTCGTGGCCCTGCCCGGCTCTGGGTCCTCCTCCCTCAATACGCAACACGTGCTGCCACCTGGCGCGGCTAGACGGAGCAAGAAGCCGGAGCCGGAGCGATCGACGGAGCCTCCTGCGCCTTCCCGCCCCATGGAGAGCGCCCCGCGTTCCCCCTAGCGCTTCTGGAGGCTGGCGGCGGAGATGGCGTCTCCGGGAGACCTGGAGTCCGCTCCCTCCCGAGTGCCAGCCACCAAGGTGGAGCTCACCGTATCCTGCAGGTGAGTGCGGAAGTGGCCCGCGGGAAGGGAGGAAGGAAAGAGAAGCTCCCAACCCCGACGACCCCTGATCTGCTAGCCCCACCGCGGGAAGCTTGGCTGGATCTCAACTCACCTTCCTTGGATATGTGGGAGCGGGGGGGGGGAGGGCAATGGGATGGAGAGCTATGCTTCTTAGCTGGGGAACCTGCATGAAGACTGTGCAAACTGCGATCAGGAGCAGCCCGGGGTGGTGGTTGTTGGTGGGTTTTTTTTGTACAAAAGTGTATGGTGAATATCCCTGCTGGGTGTGTGTGGGATGTGGAACACAGTGTGCAAGTAGGTCGTTTAAAACACTCAATACATTTCGTGATTGGGGAATGCGTCCAGTTGAGGTGTGACACTCTTATATAGGCTGCTTTATGTCCAGTGGGGTACAACCAGGGTTGTGAGTGCTTGCACATAAACCAGAGTTTCTTTTCTGTATATGTGTAATGCTTGGCGTCTTTTACTCTTGGCATTTCTGTGTGCAACTCTCTTCTTCACTTATTCTGCATTTGTTTGGTTCCATGTACTTTTTCAACCCATTGTTCATCTTCCATGTATAGAGTAGAGTGAACAAGCAGCTACCCATTTTGTGTTGTGTTGGCAGTGGCTAGTTTGTGCATATTTATGTTCTCTCAGTATTTGGGAATTAGGTGGGTTTTCCCCCCCACACGAGTTGCCTTTTATGAATATCATCGCAGGCACTCATATTTCACTCATATTTTCCATCTTGTACTACAGGCAAAATGTCATGCACTTGAATTATAAGGCTGGGGATAAATCAAATATCACAGTTTCCATCTTATCCCTAACAAGAAGAATTGTTCTTTACTAATGAAGATCTAACTACAATCAGGGCTTCTTTGCAAATTTCAAGCCTATTTTGTTTTAAGTTCAGTCTGATATGTTAATATATACATTTTTTTTAAAAAGAATGTGACCTACACAGAGTTCCATGTAAAGTTCTAAACTTGATTCTGCAAGGCATGTCCAATAAATTTGGCAAGATCCTGAAATCCCTTCATAGGAAAAAAAAATCTTTCTACTCGTCATGATTAAAAGTTTTAAAACATATATTAGCTTTTGTGAGAAGCCCAGAAATTGGAGACAAAAAGAATTTCCAGTAGTCAAAACTTCAAAACACCTATACAGTTGTTCCCCTTCACTTTTTTTTTTTTTTTTTGGCTTCATGTGTCAATGCTGTTGCCTCCCAATATTCATGTTTAAATGCTGTTGCCTTTGAATCCATGTTTCAGTACCCATGAATACAACCTATGAATGTCAGCTTGGACGTTTGTCAGAAATTAAGCAGGGACAATGATCTCTGGCATTTGTGGTGTGTTCATTTGGCCAACCTACGCAACTCGGACTAGTTATTCCAATAGCTTAATAGAGGATAGCAAAAATCTATGTACTATCCCAAAGGCTCACCGGTTGGGTGCACTGCAAAATGTTGGGTATTTTCTCCCGTAGGGTGTTGTGCCCCGTATTTGAGGAG